GCGCGTACCTATCTTAATTACTATCTTAATCGTTATCTCGATTCTTATACGCTTATCTAATATACCCCTTTAGCTTAATAACTCTTTAGTAAGCTAGAACTATTAGGTAAGTAAGAGATTATTTAAGTAAGCTTAGATTTTATTAAGAGGTACTTTATACGTAATTTAGTATTCCTATACTTCTACTAGTCTGAGTTGGTTTAAGAAACTCTCCTACTTATTTCCTAGGAGTACTTTAGTAAAACTATTAGTAGTTATCTCTATTAATAGAGTATATACTACTTTAATTCAACTAGCTAATACCTCTTACCTTAGCTAGTAGTTGTAAATATCAACGTGCCTTAGTTTAGTTTAAAGTTTAGCTAGTTCTTCTATAATAAGCTAGATTATTTAAGTATTATTATACTAGATAGTAATATAGCTTATTAGTAGTTTAACTTTTAGCTTATCTAGTAATTATAATATAAAGATAGCTTCTTTAGCTACTTAAGATAGAGTTAGTAATTTAGCTTCAGTTATTAAGGTAGTAATAGTGTCTTATTTATTAGCTTTCTATACAATAAGACTATTAAATAGTTTAATTATATATCCTTAGGAGCTTTTTCTATCTAGAGTATTATTAGTAAAGGAGGTATTACTAGCTACCTAGAGTAAATCACCTCCTCTAAGTTAGAGTACTCTCTATCTTATACTTAATAGATATATAAGTACTTAGTTAGTAGCTTCTTAGTGTATAGTATTTAGGTTTATAAGGAATCGAGCCAATTATAACGTTGCGAACGCTATATTAGGTCTAGTAGTTACTATAGTAAATAGGAGTAAGCTAATTTTGCGCTAGTACTTATTAATCTCTAATAGCGTTACTAGGCTAGTATAAGGCTAGAGCTTAGAAGTAGCTATTAGAGTATCGTAGTGGACGTCTCGTTTATTAGCGAGCTAATATATCTTATCGATATATGCGGCCTATAAGAGCTAGATAAGGCGTTACTCTCTTTTCTAGATAATCTCTATACTAAGGAACTATTAGAGATCTACTCCTCTAGTAATAGTATACTTCTCTCTTAAGAGGTAAGTTACTTTTTCTACTTCTTTAGTCTTCTTTTTATCGTAGGCTATAATAATATCATCTACGTAGAAGAAGATAATAATACTATCTTTTACTATATAGTATAGCTCGTAGGGTACTGTTTAAAAACAAGAGACTTTAGTATTAAAGTAAACTCTTTCTACTATAGTAGAGGTAAAATGCGTAGTCTATATAGAGCCTTTTAGACCTAAAGGATTATCCCTTTCTTCTAGTATCCCTTTAGTATCTTTATATAGATCTCTCGATCTATTGCAGCTTAGATAAAGGCGTTTATTACGTTATACTATTTTAGTTCAAGATTATATTTAGCTGCAATTACTATAAGTATCTAGAAGGATCGGCTAGCTAGTATTATAGCGTAGGTATCTTATAATATAACGTTTCTTTACTAATCTCTACGTATAACTAGTCGGGCTTTATATCTAATAAACTAGTAGTATTTATCTAATTTATAGGTATAAACCTATATACAATTAAGTATCTATTAACCTATTTATTTAATTGGATTAGCTAGTACTTTAGTCTATAATCTTATCTTATAGTAGCTTACTATATAAGCGTATTCTACTTCTTTAAATAGCTTACCTATTAGATAGTTATCTAGGTTTATTTAGTATATTAGTAGAGGTAGGAGTTGACTATAATAGAGCTTTAAGCCTCTAGCGAGTATTCTTTTTATCTTTACTTTATCTATTAACTCTCCTCTATATTACCTAACGTTTCCTACTTAGGTACCTACTATAAAGGCTGCTGCCTATAGAATAGTTTTAGATAATCCTTAGTTATTATAGGTTTTTATTATAGTAGTTAACTATTCTCTACCTAAGCCGATTTTAGATAACTTATAGGGTACTAGCGCTCTAGTTATTAACTAAGATAGGAGTACTACTAGTAGTAGAGATAGTAGTAGAGTTAGGTAATATTCTCTAATCTTCCTTCCTTAATAGTAGTTAGGTGGGTCTACTTTATTAGTTAATGTATCTAAGTCGATATTATCCTTATAGAAAGACTCTATTTCTAGCTAATAAACTAGCGTTAGGAGCTTAATAGTTCTTATATAAGTAGTAATCTCTTCTAGCGTTTAATGTATGAGGTTATCTATTAGGTCCTCTATTTTACTATTAAAGATTATATACTTATTAAAGATAATATCTTAAGTACTTATTACCTTAGCTATAGATAGTACCTATATCTAGTAGATATTTAATAACTAGTATCTAATAAGGTATCTAATCCAGGCCTTTAGGTCTAGCTACTAGAGTCTTAATTTACTATAGTAGGTATTATTAGTTATTATAAAGCTTTGCACCTATAGGCTTTTAAATAAGCTAGATTAGGCTTTCTCTATAATACTATAATTCCTTAATTATAAGCTACTCCTATAAAGAAGATCTTATATAGCGTTTTCTAGTTATTTAAGTAACTTAGTATTTAGTTATAGAGGTATACTCTAGCTCTAATAATTTCTAGCTAGAGTTCCTAAGGTAGATTAGCATCGAGCTATATTACGCGTAATCTCTCCTTATTAATACTTCTAGCGTACTTAGCTCCTCTATTTTAAGCTTAAGTGTCTAGAGCTAAGGTTCGATAGTAATACCTTATAAGCTTAACTAACGCTAGACTTCTAGTTTCACTATAGTGATCTCGTTATTAGCTTCAATTACTTTAACTAAGATATTATACTAATTTTTCAAGAAGAGAATAAGGTTTTCTAGTATCTTGATAATTAACTTCGCTAACTAGTTATCTATAAAGTAGAAGTCCTACTATAGTTTAGAAATCTTCTTAGTAACTAGTATCTAGCTCTTTTCTTTATTAAAGCTCTATACTTTATATAAGTAGAAGTTAATTAAGATTCTTTCTCCTAATCCTTTATAGCTAACTTATAGTGCGTAGCTGATTTAACGTTTTATCTTAGCTTTACTATAGGAGTTATATTTAATAGTAGTTACTCCTTTTACGCGCACCCCTTAAGTTTACTAGATAAGGTACTTAATTACTACTAGTCCTAGATAGCCGAGTCTCTTATACTATAGGAGTGTAGTAGCTCTAGTTAATCTAGGTTTATAGGTATAGTACGTCGCTTCTTATAATAGATAAAACTTAAGTACTGTACCTATTAGCTGTAGATCTCTATAAGATTTCTAATTATCTAACTATCTAGTTTGTTTAGGGTTATAGGTTCTAATTAGGTATTCTACTATATTCCTCTCTACTAGAGTAATTGGAATAAGACTAGGTTATAGTAGATATCCGGGTATATAGCTATATTATATAGAGCTAGTTGATTTACCTTAGATTAGTTCTTTAACGTTAGATTAATAGATCTATATCCCTTTACCTATATCTTTAAATTACTAGCCTAGATATAGTCTTCTTGAGTAGGTAGGTAATAGTTGTAAATGCGATTAGGGTTATTTATAATATAGTAGGTTGTACCTGAATTAAGGATAAATAAATCCTATAGTAGATATTTATTACAGTTATTTATTATAGTTTAAAAGGATATAGTAGTAAATATTCCTTTAATACTTGATACTCTTCTACTATATAGTTATTCTTAATCTCTAGGTATTAGAGTTAGTAATCGCCTAAAGTAAGGTTTAGACTACTATTTAATTAGCCCTTAAAGGGTTGTATTATACTTATGCTTGTATTTAATAAGCTCTTTTTAAGTCTTGCTTAGAATCTACTACTTAGGTGCCTTATCTAGGAAGATATAATAGTAGTCCTATAAATTATAGGATCTATTACAAGTAGGGTATTTTTCCTCTACTATAGTTATTTCTAAATTTTAGGAGTTTATCTCGTTCTTATACGGAAAACTAGTCTAATAATCTAGTATACGTTTTTATCCTTAGGGTCTACCTTAGTTTCTAGAGTTTATCTTATTCTTATATAGAAAACTAGTCTACTAATCTAGTATACGTTTTTATCCTTAGGGTCTACCCTAGTTTCTAAGTAGCGCGCTTTTAGTAAGAGAGGCGTCCCTAGTCTTACTCTAGGTAGGTTTACTACTACTAGTAGGGTATTCTAAGGTGTTATTAACTATAAAAGTAGCTATATATTTCCCTAATCTAAGAGGATAATTTACTATTATATATTCGCGGAAGCGTTTTATTATCTCCTTCTAGTTTATACTAGGATTAAATTATCTATAGTCTTAAAAAGTTATAGACTAGATAGGAGTAACTTTATAAATAGCTATAAGAAAGTCTTTAGTAATTACGTTAATTTATAATAGCTCTATAACTTAATATATTTTAGCTTCTATAGAAGCTTAGTTATACTTAGCTAGCTAAGTATTCTAGTTTACTACGTTCCTTATTAGTTTAAGTAAATTAAGGTATCTTTTATAAGCTCGTTCTTATTTAATTCGTTTATCTATACTAATAGTTTATTTAAGGTTAGTAAGCTATTATCTTAGTAACTAATCTAGTAGGTAGTACGTGCGCAGTAGATGCGGTATAACTAATAATTAGATAAATACTATAATATACTATAAGCTCGTCTACTCCTTATTATATACGTATTAATTGATTTAATACTACTTAGAGAGAGTTTTATAGTATTTAAGATCCTCCTTAAACGCCTTAAGGCCTATAGTTGATAATTTAGATTAATGTGATAGTTCCTAAATGTTAGAGGCTAGCGTATATTCAGTAATTACTAGAGGACTAACTATTTCTAGCTCTTTAATAAGTTTAGTAGTTATAGCTAAGTTGATCTTATCCTAGATTTTATAGGCTACGCATCTTAATTATAGTTAAGTTAACTAAACTATATAGTTAACGTCTATCCTTAGTATTACTATTAGATTACGTTGCGCTTAATAGATTATATTATTATTGACTTATAATATATAATAGTAATAATTAGCGTTACTTCTTAAACTTTCAAGTTGTTATTAATCGGGCGTATAGCGCAGTAGTAGCGTGTTGTAGTTATACTATAGAGGTCCTAAGTTCGAATCTTAGTATACCTACTAGGACTGAATCCGTAGTAATAATTTACTATAGATTTAGTTCTTTTTACTGAATTGATTAGTAATTAGCTTAACTTAGTTTTAGTTATTAGTTTTTAGCTTAATTTAGTTAAGGTAGTAAGACTCTTAATTATTAGATTTAAAGGGGTTTAATCTATGTCACTAATATACACGAAGTATATAATAATTAATTGCGATAATTATAGAGTAATTGATTAATAGGAGTAATTGATTAAATTTATTAATTACTCTATCTATTTTCTACCCTCTCTACTACTCTTAATATACTTTAGAAAGTTTCTTAATTTCGCTCGTGCCCTAGGGTCTCCCTTTATTAAGCTGGTACATTATTTAATTATAGCTCTCCTATTAAAGGGATGCCCGTAGTTAAGCTAGTGCGGCGCGGTTTAGTTTAGCTTACTTAGCTAGTGGCGCTAGTAGCGTACGTGCGCGCGTGCCTATCTCGATCGCTATCTCGATCGTTATCTCGATTCTTATGCGCTTATCTAATAAGAACGCTAGCCGTAAAGCTGTATAGCGGTAACGTAGAAGGTAGTATATATAGAATTTATTAACTTAGTAGAGTAGGAGAGGCCGACCTATCCTAATAGCGTTGTAGAGGGTTAAAAGAAGCTATTAATAGAATAACTACTCTTCTTAGTCGAAGGCGTTAGCCTAATGCTAGAGTCTAGATAGAGAACTATAAAGGATTACTAATAAACCGAATTAAGTAGCTTTAGTTATACGTAACTACTAGTATAGTAGGGTTTAGACTAGCTATTTTAGGTCGAGGAAGTACTAGCTAGGGGTAACGACATCGTAAACTTCGCATACTCTAGTAGCTATAAGGTTAGTATAATATATATCTATTATAGTAGTATAGATTACTACCTAATGCACGTCCCTACCTAATATACGGTTTCTACCTATCTTAGCTATATAAAGATAAGGTTATTAACCCCTATATAAGAGCTACTATCGCGAGATTTTTTAGAGTATTAATCTATTAAGCTAAGAGTATATATTGTATTAATTATTTATTATTAGTAACGCTTAGGGCGGTTGATTTTACGCCCGCGAGACGATGTAGGCGGTACGCGCTACTCTATATCCTCTATCTTACTAACCTCTATATCTTAAGCTATACTACGTTTATTAATTACGACGTTTTTACACTATATTATAGAGGCTTTTCTAGCAATCTTAACGTTATTTTAGAGTTATTTTTCAATGTTACGCGCGAGTTAAGCCTCTACGCGATTATAAGCTTTTTAAGCCCTCTTAGCGTTATGGGTAGCCTTAGCTATAGTATAATTTTAGCGGCGCTCCTCTATCAACTTAGCTTTCTTAGCTTTAGCTACCTCTCTTAGTTTAAGCTCCTCTATTTTTTAGAGTTATAGCTCTTTAGCTATAGCTTATTTTTAAACCTTACGCTTATAGGCGCCTCTAACTTTACTTAGCGACTAAAAGGCTACTCCTCTATTATATTCAGTAGGTACTTTAAGTAGTAGAGGTTTACTACGCTAGCGGCGCTTTTTCTTATTAGTAAGAGTACTATAGAGGCCCTTATTCTCGTATTTAAGTATACTATTTTATATAGAGATCTTATATATTGTATAGGAGAGCCGCTAAGTATTTTTATCGTATATATTATTGAAAAACGTCTTTAAGAGACTATATATTTTACGCTAGTTACTCGCGCTAAGTACTAATACTAATAAGATACCTAATAAGCTTATAGATAGGTAGCTATTACCCTTAACTTTAAAGCGTTAGAGTATAACCTTAGGATTAAAAGGCATAATCCTAGTAGCGCTAAAGGCTTTAAGTATCGTTTTTAACTTGAAAGCTATATTCTAGGAGCTGTAAAATAGTCTAAAAAAGTACTTCTTTATAATAGTTATAAGCCCTTAGTAGGCATCTATATACTTAGCGAGCTACGTAGTATATACTAAGGATAGTAGCTTAAATATAATAATATTAAGAGGCTAGAGTATATAGGTTAAGTATAGCAGATATATAGCTAAGAGGATCTTATAGGCGTCGCAATACTTAATAAACTCTATTATTATATAAGATCTATAGCTATCTAAGATTAGTAAGTAATACTAGCGATAAGCTTTCTTATAAGTCTTGCAGTTGAATACTTATTTAAGCTACTATAGCCCTAACTTATTATTTATCTATCTAGATAGTAAGCTTATAAAGAACGTTTTATATATAGATAGGTTAAAATCTTAGAGCTAAGTATCTTGAATATTACTAGAAGTAGTAGCGTAGATTAACGCTAGTGTTAGCGCAGTCCTATTAGCATAAATATATACAATAGTTATAATCTACTCTTTATTACTACTTTATTTAAGATAGTAGAACTTTCTATAGTCGTATAACTAGCGTAAGAACACTTATTTAACTTTTATAATATATCTAATTAAGAAGCCTTTCTTATCTATATTATATATATGCTAGGGTTTAATACTATACTTATTAATTTTACGTTGTAAAAGGTTAAAATAGAGTATATATTTATATGCGGAGTTAGCGTTTTAGCGCGTAGAGTTAATACTAGAGGCCTAGCGTGTAACGAGCTTATCGCGGTATTAAGCGATAAAGTAGTTAACCTAGTTTTTTCCAGCTAGTTTTTAAGCTATCTCTATAGCGAAATTTCGTATTATCTCTCTTAAAGGTAGTAAGCCTCTCTTATAAAGCTTATTACAATACTATATAAGCTTATCTTCTTGTTATAGGTTAAGTAATTAGTTATTGTATGTTTTCTCGTTGCGCGCGTGTGTTTTACCCTAGCATCGTCTCGACAGTGTTGTTCGATCAACCCTAAACCTTTTCGCGATTTCTATATAATTAGGTTTTTCTCCAAGGCTTAGCGATTCTATAGCTGCAATCGCAGCCTTAATATTACCTATATTAGCTGAGATATTAATGGTTGAAGTTGGGGTGGAAACTTTAGTGCGGCGGGGAAAACGTGCATTAGGTGGGGACGTGCATTAGGTGGTGATCTATACTAGGGTATAATGGCTCATAATACGCACATTGATTAACTTTAAAGGGAAGAAGAAGTTCGATTTAAAGCCGTTCCGGCATATCGTTCTTGTGGTGCATTTTAAGGCTCTCTATAAGATAGGCCGCAAGAGGACGAAGATATACGAAATTCTATCACTTAAGAGGCCGAAGATACTTGAAAGTAACGTCCCTCCCTATGCCTTGAGGAACGAAAGGAGCTTCTAGGCCGCCCTACCCCTAAGAAACTGCAGCTACTTCGAACGCTACACTACATGAAAATCGAATCTTTTAAATTCCTTTTTCAACTTTACGTTACGTATGATCGTATTAGATATAGCGCAATAGATCTATCTACTTATATCAACTTCTTTATACTTATCTAAGTTCTTCGTCTTTAGCCACCCCTTTAATAGCTATATATATGAATCTTTTATTATTATTATACTATGATTAGTTGCATTAGGTATAGTGTAATAATTTTATCTACTTATATTCATCTGTTTTTCTTTTCCCTCTCGTTAGCTAATTTTACTACCTAAGGCATACCATTTCCATTCCCCACCCTACTCCTAGCGCTGCTATTACTGAAACTATAGGTTAACTACTATATATTTCTCTTTACTATACTATACTATCTACTGCTTCATCTTAGAGAGGACCTCTATATTTACTAATATTATACTAATTACTTTGCTACGTCTAGGAGGTCTAGTCCTATACTTCTACCTCTTTAATCGTTACTTCGCTGCAATTATCTAACCTCTTCTCTGCTGCGATTATGTTCTCTAGCACTGTGTTGCTAATGATGTCCCTCTCTCGTACCTTTAATAGTAGTATTATACCCTCTAATAATAAACTCTGCGATAGTTGTACGTATAGGCTATATGGATCGCATTGACTCGGTACTGCTTGCCCGCGCACCTGCACTGTCCTTGTCCCCCGCAGCTCCAGCGCTACTTGCTCTAAGGTCCTGCCTTAGACTTTATAGTCTATATAGGCGAAAGCCGCCGTATATGGTAATCCTCTATGGGTAACATCGTGTTGCTGCTATAGACGTCTTCGTGCGCACTCGATCTTTGAACTGAGCGGGGTGAGGAGGATAGTGCCTAGCGGCATCCCGACGAAGTTGAACTCTCTTGTTGATTCTGCCGCGAGAATGATACCAGCAGGCGGTCTAAAGTAGAGGATGGTATTAGTGGAGATGCGATGGCCTGGAAACGCGTCGTCGACAATGACGTCTAGAGCTGTGTAATTGGCTCCGTTGACTAGTTTCAAGCCCTAATATATATTTTTATTGATTATAACTGGTATACCCGGGATGAACATGAATATAGCCAGTATTGGGATGTTGCTGTCGTCGCTATAGCCTAAAACCATAATAGCTTCCTCTTCTGTTGGCTGCCCAGCTTTCTATTTATGCTCGGACACGAAGATCCTTAGCTGTGCCTTGTGTTGCGTCTGATACGATAGTGCCGCCTTAATATTTAAATTCTATTAGTTTCTATTCAGTAGCGTGACGACCGTAATGCTGGATTCCTATGGGATTCGCTTGCCCTCTTGGTAGCACGTACGATTTAATATGTCGATGTCCCTCTAGTTAGCGACGCCTTATTGGATTCGCGTGAGCAGCCGCTGTAGCTGTAGATCGCCTGCGGCACGGACCTGTTTATTCAGTATTACGACGGTTGTAAACTGTTGCTAGAGCATGTGCGCTTTATCGTGTTGGTGTCTCTGTTCGACTCTGAACGTTTTTCCTTCGTCCTAGGCGAATTTACTGCTAGGGACTAAGATACTCTGCTCCTGTACTGGCTGGAACTGTTTGAAGTCTCTAAAGAAGAGGATTATTGGGATTCTGCCGAAGTCTTGCGCACATCCGCGGAAATCGCACAGCCGCTTATTTATAGCGTGTAAGGTCCTCGCTCCTAGTATGCTGATCTCATCTACGATTAGTACGTCTTTCTCCTGCTAGTCTATTCGACTTT